AGAGAAAATATTTATTGTGGTTTTCAACATATGCCTGGAAATGAGTCCTTTCTACTGTGCATTGGTTCATTCTGTCTGAGCCTGTGGTGCGTTTGCAGGAACCGCACGTCTCCGCTATTAACATGAAGAATGTAACAGCGTTTCCTGTCCTGAAGAGGCGTCAAACTGGAGATCTTAATCATACTCCTCCCCCAATGGCAGGCCTGCAACTGGGACTGTGTATTCCCCTTCCAAGCATCAGATGTTAGCTTTGTAAGGCAACATTATCACCTTTGCAGATGTGCAAAAGGTTTTGCAATGCAGTGCAAGGGTTCCAGCATTGATGTACAACCAGATGCAGGCTAGGAGATGTTTGATGTGAAGGTCAGAGCAGGAAAGTGTGAAGAAGATAAGGGGCAAGTAAAAGTTTGTGAACCCTTTGGAATGTGAACCCTCATAAAAATGTGGTCTGATCTTCACCTAAGTCACAATAATAGACAAACACAATCTGCTTAAACAAATAACATACAAACAATTGTATTTTTTCTTGTCAATACTGAACATTCCGTTTAAACATTCACAGTCTAGGTAGGAAGAAGTACAGTATGTGAACCTCTAGGCTAATAACTTTTCCAAAAGATAGGATTGGAGGTGTGGGTTGGAGGAGCCCCGGCTTATTAAAAAGGCTGGCAAAGGCTGGTTACTGACACAGTCTGCTCTTCTCAAGAAAGTGCTGTTCATGTGAACCATGCCCTGATTAAAAGAAATATCAGAGGACCTTAGAACAAGAATTGTAGAGATGCATAAAGCTGGAAAAGGCTACAAAAGCATTCCTAAAGGCCTGGGTGTTCATCAATCCACAGTAAGACAAATTGCCTACAAATGGAGGAAATTCAGTACTGTTGCTTCTCTCCCTAGGAGTGGGCGTCCTGCAAAGATCATGGCAAGAGCGCAGCGTGCAATGCTGAAGGAGGTGAAAAAGAACCCGAGGGTAACGGCAAAGGACCTGCGGAAATCTCTTGAACTTGCAGTCTCTGTTCATGTGTCCACTATGAGAAAAACACTAAACGAGAATAGTGTTAATGGAAAGGCACCGTGGAGCAAACCACTGCTCTCCAAAAAAAAACACATTGCTGAATGTCTCAAGTTTGCAGAAGACCACCTGGATGTTCCACAGCGCTTCTGGGACAATGTTCTGTGGATGAGACAAAAGTTGAACTCCTTGGCAGAAATGCGCACTACGTTTGGAGGAACAAAAGCACTGCACACCAACACCAAAACCTCATCCCAACCGTGAAGCACGGTGGAGGGAGTGTCATGGTTTGGGGCTGCTTTGCTGCCTCAGGGCGTGGACAGGTTGCTATCACAGGGGGGGGGCAATTAATTCAAAATTGTATCAAGAAATTGTACAGGAGAATTTCAGGGTAGCGGTCCATCATCTGAAGCTTAATAGAAGTTGGTTCTACCAGTCACTAAATACAAGGGGTCACATACTTTTTCCAGCCTGGGCTGTGAATGTTTAAACGATGTGTTCAGTTTTGACAAGAAGAAGTACAATTGTTTCATGACATTAGTTTGCAGATTGTGTTTGTCTATTATTGTGACTTAGTTGAAGATCAGATCACGTTTTTATGAGTAATTAATGCAGAAATCCAGGTAATTCCAAAGGGTTCTCAAACTTTTTCTTGCAGCTAGCTGTAGTCAGAGAAGGTGTAATGGAAAGGATGATAGATATACTGTAGAAATATGAGCGACATGAATGACAATGCAGATCATTAATGGGTCCTTACCTGATCTCTTGGAACATCGACCCCAAGGGAAAATTCCTGCACTCACAAATTAATTCCGCTTTTCCTCCCCTTTCACCTTAACTCCTAATTTGTTCCGAAGGGTATTGAAAAAGATGACTCCATTAGATAAAGGAAAGGAAATTGAATTTTTCCAAACACATTGATCATTTCATTCCATTGACCATCTAATCTCCACAGCCTTCTTGTCCAGAGTCTCCTTAGCCCTATACATTCACCATTATCTCATAACACTGACCACCTGTTTTTATCAGCCTTGCTGTCCACTGATGGACAATCTATACATTTTAACCCGTATTAATCCCTCATACCTGAGAATAGGTTCACTTAACATAAAACTTACTCATCACAAGTTTCCTGGTGCTTCACTTTGCAGCAAGTCATTAACATATTCTCCTTGTCACCCCAGTAAGTGAT